TTTAACAGACTTAGTTCTCTATATCCTATTTCTTTAAAAAAATATTCTTGTCTCAAACTACTAAAACATCAACAAAAGTCACTTTGCTAAAACTGCAGAGTTGAATTTTCAACATCAAATTGGACAGAGCAGAGATAAACGTCCCATAATGCAATTTACAACCGTAAATAAAGCACGTCATGATTTTGCCAAGTACGATGCGATCTTAGATTACCATCTATGTTGATCCTGAAACATCATTTTTATTCGAAAATGTAATCTATAAATATTCCCTACCCCTAAACCCAACCATAAATGTAAATTATTCCCAAAATTAAGCCGCGGTCACACTGGACTTTTTTCCCCATAGACTTCCATTGATATGCACGCAAATGCGTCAGACCAGAAACCCAAGCTCGTGCAACAAGTTTCACAGTTCGCTGCGTTGGATAGTTCAATCTTGGTGAACTCTGACCTACAAAATCACATCACATGATTTTGTGAGACCAATCGAAGATCAAAAAATGACCTCTCTGTACAGAAATTTTAAATATGGACCAATCGCTCGCTTTTATAAATGTCTAATTATCTTGTTTAATCCCGCCCCTATTCGCAGCACCCTAAACCCTTAATTCTGATTGGCTGATTGGAATGTTGTTTCAGGATCAACATAGATGTTAATCCAGGAACATGTCCTACTTGAACACCAGAACATAACATGATAGTAGTTAGATTGCAGTGTTTACATTTCTCTACTGCACTTCAATAATGAGACTAAAATTGGCATATTCTGCATGTATTAATTAGATTTCTCTTTAGTTTGATTATGACTGTAATCCGATCAAATTGATCAAAAATCGCTGTATACGTGATAGACTCTTAATCAGAGTATTGTCTTAATCCTTTTAAAATTGGATTATTGGTGTCCATGTAAACATACTCAATGCTTTGATGTCTATTAAACATCTTTTAAACAGAAACTTCATTGGAGGATTGTTATCACTGAGGAAAACAAACAAAAAAAAAACACCAAAACTGGAATTTTAATTGAATAAAATGCCAGCACATACTAACTGCAAGTTGAATTCCATCAGTTCAGTATAGTTATATTAAAAACGAATTACATGAATGGCTTCGAATATTAGTTTTGAGATGCGAAGGGGGAAACACAATGCGAAAGAAACTAATTACTCTGTGTGTTTCTTATCTGCTGGAAACAGTACACGGTCCCATTCAGTCATGATGATAGTCTAATAAATTATAATGAAGACGCTGAGTACTAGATTAATTGAAATTGCATTTTGTCTTTGATATCCTGCGTTTTGCATCCCAGCCACAGCAATCTGCAGCTTTCTGCGCTTAACAGTTGATGGTTCTAGCCTTTTTGTTCTCAAATACAAATGCAAAAACAATAACATTTTGTCACGGCGACACTTCTGACATGTCAGCAGTTCTCTGGCCGTTTATCGCCATCAGTCTCGCACGCAGCTCGCACTTAATGGCCGTGGCAGCAGGCGGAATATATGCAAATGAGCTGGAGACTACAAAGAGAGGGAGTTATTTGATTATGTTTCAGTTAAAAATGCATCACATGTGTCGTGTGCAGACCATAGAGGAGAAACACTGCTCCTTCACACTTCCTTACACTCTAAAAACCGTCTAGAATGGGCTCTTACATAAACATTTTACAAAATAAGCACCATTCGCTTGGTGATCATCTTTATCACTGAGCTCATGAATTACTGTGAAAACACAGACCAGACGTGCTACTGTGAGATATAGGCAATTTACTGTAAAGAGCAGATAGAGGGTTGTTAAAATAATATTTTTATGGGTAAGTCCTGTCAAGGACATATATTTCAGCCTAAAGTCTAAAGAAAATTAAACCTGTTTTACACTCTAGTAAGATATAGTTCGTTGACTTTACTTTAAAAACGTGAGTAAACCCACTGCTTTTAAAGTGGTCAGTTGACTTTATTTTAAAAAAAAGTAAGTCAATCCGTTTGCTTTAAAGGGACACTCCACTTTGTTTGGAAATATGCTCATTTTAAAAGTCCCAGAGAGTTAAACTGTTGGGTTTTATAATTTTTTAATCCATTCAGTTGATCTCCGGGTGTGGTGGGAGTATTTTAGCTTAGCATAAATAATTAAATCAGATTAGACCATTAGCAATATATATATATATATATATATATATATATATATATATATATATATATAATTAAGCGGTACCCAAAACCTTACTTGATTGGGCAAGTGGGTCGAAGGTAAATAAAGGTGAGGTAATTTACCATGGGTAATTTACTAATTTATTTATACATTCATTTTCCTTCGGCTTAGTCCCTTTATTCATGAGATGTTGCAACAGCGAAATAACCACCAACTTTTCCAGAACATGTTTTACACAGCGGATGCCCTTCCACCTGCAACCCAGTACTGCATGGGAAACATCCATACACACTCATTCACACATACACTACGAACAATTTTGTTTATTCAAGAAACCGGAGAACCCGGAAGAAACCCACACCAACATGGGGAGAACAGGCAAATGCCGACTGACGCAGCCGGGACTCAAACTAGCGATCTTCGGCTGTAGGGCAACAGTGCTAACCACTGAGCCACCGTGTTGCCCCCTAGTTTATTTAAAAATTGTTTAAAACTTACTAGAAAACATTGCTTTATATTAAATCAATCATACAGTTTTGTTTTGCATTATATAATAAACTTCTTACAGAAAAAAAACTATCTTATTTATAACAGAATTAAACCAGTTTTTGACCTGCTTTGCTTGCTGATGTCTTTCTCTATTTGTCAAGTGACAGTATTTACATTTTTAAAAATCTGATTCATTTACATTGACTGAAACATTCAATCTCTAATTTATTTTATGTAGCTTACCAATAAAACAAACAAAAAAAGGTTACGTCTAATTAGAAATGACGATCTCTGAAAGGCATTTGCCCCAACCCTCTCTGTCAAAGTCGCTCTACTCTCAGATGGGATGTTGGGCCAAATCAAAGGTTACAATGGGCAAACTTTGGCCCGCAGGCCCTACTTTGGGCATCTCTGGTATGTTTCTGATTCAGTCTGAATTGTTGATCACAGAATGGATTGATGTTTTCATGCTGTCTCCAGCAAATTTTGACCTTACCATCCAAATGCCACAGCAGAAATCAAGACTAAACAGACAGGTAAACATATTCCCAATCTTGCAATCTCCAATTTTGGTGAGCCAGTGTGAATTGTAACCTCAGTTAGCTGTTCTTTTTCTGTAGCTCATCATCTTCAAGGTTTGCTGTGTTAAAGGTTTTAGCAATTCCCAAGCAGACCTTGAATGTAACGGTTGTGTTTGTTATTGACGCTTTTCTATCAGCTGAATCTTTCACTCACAGAACTGCTGCTCACTGGATATGATTTCTTTTTCTGTAAACCCTAAAGACGGATATTTTTTTAAGTCACCTAAATCCACTTCTTCCCAATTCTGATGCTCCTCAGTTTGAGTTCGAAAGATCATCTTAACCATATGCCTGAATACATTCTACATGTAAAAAAAAGCATACTGTAGTAAGGTGCATTATACTGTATTTATAGCATTTTCAATTCTTTGTTAATGCCCAAACCTTTTCTTATGAAGGGCCAAAAACCAAACTTTCGATTGAGGCTAGTGGGCCAAAGGTAAGGTGAGGTAATTTACCACAGGTAATCTCCTAATTTATTCATTCATTTCCTTTGGTTTAGTCCATCAGGGGTCGCCACACCGGAATGAACAGTCAACTTATCCAGCATTAAATTGGATTCTTTATTTGTAAATTACCCATGGTAAATTACCCCACCCATATTTACCTATGACCAACTAGCCTCAATCAAGTTTGGTATGTCGCCTTTTATAAAGGTTTGGGCACCCCTGGATATACTGTACATTACATATTACATACTGTAATATTACTAGTGAACTGCACTGTAAAAAATGCTATGTTGCACACAAACAATTTGTATTCTGACAAAGGAATTAAATTACCTTATTGCTTTTTACAAATTTAAGAAGATTGAACATAAAACAATTAAGTTTTCCCAAAAACAAATCAAGAATTGAGTTGTTTCAGCTTATTTGAAAAAAAAGTATCTTGAGCAAACATCAATATTTGAGTGTGATAAACTGTAATAAAAGCTGTATATTTTATTTAGTTTTTACTATGTGGTGTATTGTAAATAGTTAAAGAAATCTTACTAAAGTATTGGATATTGTTTATATTGTCTTAGTTGTTACCATAGCGACTGTAGCTGTTAGCCTATAGGCTACTTTAATTTATACAAATATGGTTCGAAAACACTATTAACGTTATACCACAAACTACTATAGTATTTTTATTTGGACTTTCATAGAAATGGGTAGAAATAGTATAACTAAAATGTCCACAACCTTGACCCATATAAAGATACTTTTGTGTGAGGTGATTAAGGCTCTGTCATGGTGTAATTCAATCTTAAACCAAGATACAAACGTCCAGCAGCTCCATATTCCCGTCAGCTCAAGTCAAGATTCAACTGGCCAACTAAAACAACACGAATGTCGAACAAAGCTTTCAAAATCCACAAGAAGTTATTGAAAACGAAAACCTGATGCTGAAATGTGTCGGAAAAGCCCTTCTTCAATTAGTCCGTGAGTCACAGGGAAAGCACTGCAGTAGTAACCGGTGTAACGAAGCGAAACAGACGAGGAGATACAGTACGGACAGCTCATCTGAAAGTGTGAATGAAAACCGAGCTCAATCAACGTGAGCAACACCTGTGTGAAAAGCACGTGTTTTAATGTACTTTGACGGATAAATTAGTTAAAGGTATAGTTTATAACAGAGAATAGTCTCGCGTGCACGGCTTTTATCTCGCACGTGCACGCGCTCCTTTGCTGCGGCTGTAGTTCGTGTGTAAAAGATACAGCATCAAAATGATTTTATCTTCAGAAAGCGTTCAGTCTTTGCTCATGCTAAATAAGAAACATGCTGTTTAGCTTCGTTTACCAGCTCCGTAGTCATGTTCTGCTGTGTGGTGGCAATCATGTTGGCAGGATTCAGGACCCAAATTCAGCACGGATAGCTCCTAATGCAGTTCCAGCAGTTGAAAGCCTTGTTTTGAGTTGGTGCTGCAAGTTGCACAGCCCACTGACAGAGCCCTTTAATAGGATGGTGTAAAGTTGGACATCTCTCTCTCTCTCTCTCTCTCTCTCTCTCTCTCTCTCTCTCTCTCTCTCTCTCTCTCTCTCTCTCTCTCGCTTTCTCTCTCTCTCAAATTAAAATATTGCTTTAATGGCATGAGACGTTACACATTACAGTGTTATTAAAAAGTGGTTAAAAACAAAACAGCAGTGTTTGCACAAATAGTCTACTAGTTTGTTGGATCATGTCGCCTTTGCTTTTGCCTTCAATAATTTAATTTTGGTATAGAATTATAATGTTGTGTATATGTATTTATTATATTTCCATTTTGTCAATTTTGTCAAGCCTCCTGTGGACAGTTGTTGAGAATTAGAAAGTTTGCTAAAACACTTAAACGAATATATTTGGTTGTCTAGTGTAATTGTGATGTAAAATAAATAAATAAATAAAATAAATGTATTAACAAAACATTTATAAAGTTGACATTAAATAGTAGTAGTAGTACAAAATGGACTTATAATAAATTAGAATAAACTACATTTAACAATCAACATTTTAAGATAAAAATAAATAATAATCAGTATATTTACAATGATTTCTCTTTCTCTCTATACAAAAAATAGAAAAATAAATAAAAAATAAAACAAGTAGAATAAAATAGGAGTGGCACATGTGATGTCGCATCACAGCAAAAAGGTCGCTGGTTCGAGTCCTGGCTGGGTCAGATGGCATTTCTGTGTGGAGTTTGCATGTTCTCTTTATGTTGGTGTAGGTTAAGGTTTCCTCCGAGTGCTCCGGTTTCCCCCGCAGTCCAAACACATGTGGTATGGGTAAATTGAATAAATTGAATTGGCCGTAGTGTATGTGTGTGAATGCAAGAGTGTATAAGTCTTTTCCAGTGTTGGGTTGCGACTAGAAGGGCATCCGCTGCATAAAACATATGCTCGATAAGTTGGTGGTTCATTCCGCTGTGGCGACCCCTGATTAATAAAGTAACTATGCCAAAAATAAAATAAAATGAAATGGCCGTATGTGTGTGAATGTGTGTGTATGGATGTTCCCCAGTACTGGGTTGCATCTGCAAGGGCATCCACTGTGTAAAATATATGCTGGATAAGTTGGAGGTTCATTCCGCTACGGCAACCCCAGATTAATAAAGGGACTAAGCTTAAGGAAAGTGAATGAATAATAATAATAATAATAATAATAATAATAATTCATTTATTCATTCATTTTCTTTTTGGCTTTGTCCCTTTATTAATCAGAGGCAGAATGAACCTCCAACTTATCCAGCATATATTTTATGCAGCGAATGCAACCCAACACTGGGAAACACCCACGCACTGTTTTACACACTCACATACACTATGGCCAATTTAGCTTATTCAATTCACTCATATCGCATGTCTTAAGACATATATATATATATATATATATATATATATATATATATATATATATAGTAGAATATAATAATAGTATAGTATAATATAAAAACAATAATAATAATAAAAATACTAAAGAAAATAAATAAAAGTAATGAATCAGAATAAACTGTACATTTAACAAATCAACGTTCATTGATAAAGCTAAAATAATAAATTATAATAATCAGTATATTTACAGTGATTAATTCATAATAAGATCTCTCTCTCTCTCTCTCTCTCTCTCTCCCTCTCTGTGTGTCTCACATATACACACAGAGAGACACACACAGTTACAGTGTGAATGCCTATCGATCAAGTAGGATATTAATCAAGACAACACGCTGCTCCTGGCTTCAGACCTTTTTTAAATCTCAGTGTGTCTGAAGCATCAGTCACAGTGTGCGTGCTTGATTAACAACGAGCTGCAGACAGACAGGCTGACTGACTGATTGATAACAATGACATGAAAATAGGCAGCTAAACTGTGTGTGTGTGTGTGTGTGTGTGTGTGTGTGTGTGTGTCTGTGTGTGTGCGTGTGTGCGCGCGCGCGCGCGCGTGCTAACAACAAATCAGTGTTGAACAGAATATTCAAATTGAACAGTATTCATTATTTTCCAAGGAGAATGTTGCTACAACAAAACAAAGCTTGTAGTAATTTTGAAAGTGAGAACGGTCTGGAATAACTATATTTTACTTTAGTTTTTTGCTTTTCCATGTGGATTAAGTATCACATAAAGTTAAAGATTCCTTATCATTAGCCTAACAATTACATGCTTATGAAAGGGTGCAAGCTCAATTTCGTCCTAATTATTAAAATATTCATAATCAATCCAAAAATAATTACAGTAACTTAATTGAAAGAGTGATAACACAAAGATTTATAAATCAATATAATTGTCTGTATGGGCTCCGTACAGTAGAAGCGCCGCCTGTACGTACTACGTCGACGCGCTTACGTCAGCACGCTCGGGCGGCAATGATTGGCTGGCGGCTAAATTTGAAATGCAACTTTTCTACATGCAAACGTTAATAACACATCCGGGTAAACCTGGTCGAAAAATCTAGTACGACACTGTTCTCCCTGGAGAAAATTTTTAAAAAGTTTATAATCTCGGATCGCATCGCTTCACACGCAAGGCTGGGTGTCTACAGAAATCCGTAAGTTGTATCAATGTTATACGGCGATGTGCTTTGAACGATGTTTGTTTGCGTTTTGCTAATGGCGAGCCGTTTAGAAGACGCATGCCAGTGTTTACTGTACTTCTCTTGTACTTTACGTTACATTAAACATATAGGAAAGACAGCGTTGTCTGCTATTACGTTATACTCCTAAATTTCAACAAAAAGGAGTTTGATATTAACGTTGCTTCTTAATAATATCCTATAACTTAACGTTACGTTATCTTTTAGTATTGTTGTAGTGTCTAACTTACACATCTGCTTTTTCGCAAATTTTTCATATATTTATAATCTTTTGTCATGCTTATGCATGTTAACAACAATAAATTTTAGTTAGAAATCGATTGTGTAGTGTACAGGAATGCATAATAATATTCAACATTGACCACTTCCCCAATATTCTGTAAATTATATCAAAACAGCTTTACATGTGTAAACACAGTGCTTCATATGTTAATAACAGGGTCTCCGCGGGGTCCTAAAAAGTCTTGAAATATCTTAACTTTCAAAAAACTAAATTTCAGGCCTTAAAAAGTCTTAAATCCACTGAAATATTGTGTTGTAGATCTTAATTTTCCTGTCTATGTAAAGCCACCCAATCAGGCCAACATCTATCCAATCAAACATTCCATCTCTATAAAAGTTTTAACAAAAGTGTATTAACTCTGTTTCCCAGTATGGCTTAGTTAGTTAATTTATTTATATATCACGTTTTTTACAACACAACGTTGCCCAAAGTGCTGAACACAATTAATACTAACTTTAATTAAAATAAGTCCTACATCACAATTAAAATATAAGGCAAACTACTCAACATTAAAAAGGCTCAAATGCTAAAGAACAAAGATGCCGTTTTGGAAGTATTTTAAAAACAGAGTTGGAGCGTGTCTAATGTGGGGTGGAAGCTTGTTTCAGAGTTTTGGGGCGATAACAGAAAGATTTATCCCCACTTCGGACCTTGGTAAAGAAGGAATAAACTTATCAGAAGACCTTAGTTCCTTGATTATCTTCTTTAAAATAACATTTTAATGTTTTAACTGGGCCATCAGAAAAAAATCCCTAGTGTTTAGCCTTGTGTAAGTCTGAAATTTCATTCATAATGGTCCTAAAAAGTCTTAAATTTGACATGATGAAACCGTAAAGAATAATAATACAGACATCAAAGAGCTAAAATTAATTGCTGGGTCTTATATAGATATAGCTTGGAAGCTAGCATTGAATAAATGTTTCTAGAACTGATACACACCAGTTAAAGTGTTTTTTCTACAATGCAGGAGGACATGGAGACCGCTGTGATGAATCTTCACAGCATTTTCGAAAGCCTGCGGGCACAAGCTGATGTTCTCAATGAAAGCATTGAGCCCCGTGAGTACTGGCTGTGGTTTGAATATTTGAAATAAAATACATACAATGCTGTATTGGTTCCCTGTTTCATTCTCTCACTCACAAAATATTCACTGCCTTTCTTTGTCTTTTCGTTGTCAGAGTTCATTCAGCTGGCCATAAACTTTGAGGACAACCGTCGTAGATGGCTGAGACTCGAACAGGAGCTGAATGCATGCAAAGAAGTGCTCACTAAAGCTGAGACGGAGCGTGGAGCTCTGGAGGTCAAGCTCAAACATGCTCGTAACCAAGTAGATGTGGAGATCCGTAGAAGACAGAAAGCCGAGTCTGACTGCGCAAAGCTGGTTTGTGGGATTTTATTTACATGCGGCAAATCACGTAGACCTGTTCTCTGAATTTGGGTTTAAACGTTTCTCTGCAGGACCGTCAGATCCAGCTCATCCGGGAGCTGCTGGTTTCTGAAGGCTCTAGTAGCAGCATCCAGTTAAATGAGGAGCAGCGCTCTGCTCTGGCCTTCCTAAATGCCCGTTCTCAGAATCCTGCAAATTTGAACACTAGCAGACGGTAAAATAATATAAACAAATCAGACCTTTCTTTTAGGGCTGCACAATATATTGTTAAGAATTGATGTTGGGATATTTTGTTTTTCTGTGTTTTTAAATATTGCGATATGATTTCACAAGATGGCCCTTATTGGAAAGAACTCCTAATTTTTATTTTGATTGGAAGGGTAGTGCATCTGCATAATATTGAAAATTATATAAAATAAATGAAAGCACAAATAAATAAAAAAAAAACACGCAACGAAGAATAATACACGAAATAAACCATGCCTTATGATTTTCAGTTGGAGTTAAACAGGTTTGAAGTATAGAGATAAAATAATCAAATGTAAAAAAAAAAAAAAAAAAAACTGCATACTCTTTGTTGTATTAAATATTTAAACACAATATCTTTTGTTAAAATGGCAAACTTAAAATCCATCCAAATAAAATGCTTTCATATTATTAGATTAGAGATAAACTTTGCAACGACTCCACCAATCACTTGTTCTAAACTGTTTTTAATGGTTAATTATAATCCCAACTTGACATTGCAGATCACCAGCAATTGCAGGTTCACACATAGCAATATTGGTGCTGAAGCAATATATTGTGCAACCCTAGTTACTTTAATATCATGCATTTCTGCATAAAGTTAGTAGTTCTTTTCTAATAAAGTAGGTTTGGTTGGAGTTTAAAAAGACATAAGGACTTTTAATACTACATATCTCCCAATAATATCCTTATTCTTATCCTAAAAACAAAAACCCAGGTATAGTTTACTTTGTGATGTGGTCCACATTGATACTGTGAAAAATTAATACTGTAATGTCAATTATTTTTTTGTTACATTTTTAGGTTCCACTTTATATTAAGTAGCCATAATTGCACAGCACTTTTATTTTTTTAATTAATATTCTATTCTGTACATGTTTTTACATCGTACCTGTATTAAAACTGTTATCTGTTTGTAGTTACATATGTACTTTCTTGTTATTATATTTATAAATGCACAATTAACCCATCCTCTACACAATAACCTAACTTTAAACCTTCACATAGCAACATAACTCACCCATATGCCACCTCCAGCACCAGAAATGCTGTTCTATACAGTATGAACACAAAAAGTACTGTATACTTTTTTCATGTAAGCACTTAGTAATTAAGATATCTTAATATAAAGTGTGACCCATTTTTATTTTGTTTTTCCACTTTTAATGTACAATTATTATTCATAACTTTAATATGTCTAGTTTTATCATACCCCAGTACTGTCTTGTAGTCCCCGGACGTCAATTTAAAAATCTTGCATTAAACTAGTTTTGGACATTTTAGGCAGATTATGTGTTCATAAGGAGAGAAAATTGCATGAATGTCACTTATCATTTTTTGTTTATTGACTGAATTATATTTATTGCTGCAGACTGTCTTACCTTCATTTTATTATTCACAACATCTCTTCTAGACTGGCTACCATTGATGAATCAGCCTCTATCTTGTCAGACATCAGCTATGACAAAACGGATGATTCTTTGGTATGCCATTCTCCTGATTATTAAAAATATGAATCTTGTATGCATTCCTGGCACAACCCCGACTGGGAGAAAGTGTTTTAAAGTCACTGACTGAGATTAACATTTTAATTTTGTTAGACTGACTCATCCTTTATTGATTGAATTTTTGGCGTTGCCGTTGATGTATTTTTTTCAATAACTTTGAAGGACTGGGACTCTTCTGCAATCAGAACCGTTCGTCTTAAGAAACGGCAAAAGAGAGTAAGCTTGCCAATAAATCCATATTTAATCCAATTACATCCAAATGTCAATCACTCTCTGATCATTTATTCTGTCTCAATGCAGCGCTCTTCCCGAAACCACACCGAAGGACCTCCAGCTGCTGCTAAAAGGTCTCGCTCCACCGGCCGGACATCAGAGAAAGTAAGCTGGTTACATAAGCACATGACTGACTGACTTTAATATTTGGGAAAGTGTCTTTTGTACGAAGACTCCCTGCAGGGTTTTGGTATAGCTATTAGATCTGAAATGTTTTTAAAGGAGCTCCGCAGTTCTTACAACATATTGAAGTGTGAATATTGGAAGATTTTGTCTTTTCAAGACGTTGTGAGAGGCAAAAAGCCCTTCTGTACTTGATTTTGATGTAGGAGTCTTCTTAAGGCTGCATGATACTGGGGGAAAAGTCATGCAGTATTATTATTAAGCATTGTGTTGTAATGTAAAGCTACTTTTATTAGCTTTTTCATTTTTTTGACTGGTTGTGTATGTAATGTAGATACTGAACAATACAGGTCATATTTTACAGATATTTTATAATCAAATTGGGTCTAATTCCGGCCTAGCAAACTGTCAAAATTCAAACATTTAGACTAAAAAACTGTGACTGGAAACCTCTGCAGAATTTCTGATTGTTATTTGATAAATTTAATTCAACACACACTTGTTACAGATATTGCATAGTATTATTGCAAAGGCAATCATTTTCCAATGTACTCACTAGGCCTGCACGATATTGAAAAAATCTGTTATTGCAATATTTAATTTTTCTTTAATAAATATTGTGATACGAGTACTGTTTCACAAGATGATTTAATTGGCTCTATTTGGCATTTTACTGAGGAGTTTAACTGTATTCAGGTTCAGAAATTGAATAATCACAATTTAAAAAAAATTTTTAAAAATCTGTCAATGGGAGAAGTAAAAATTCTTTGAGATGTAGATATTTGGAGTAGAAACAAGACACAAATTCTTAGTAGGAAAAAAAAATCCTGTATAAATAAGTACAATTAATCTTTGTTAAACAACTTTTTTGTGCCCAAAGGTTCTAAACTCTTGAAATGCTCAGTCACAGGCCTTAAAAATGCATGCAAATGATAAACTTTTACTCTATTATGGTTAAACTTGGCAGTGACTCTACTAACCACATTCCTGGACAACTAAATTCAGACTCGACATTGCATATCTTGTAATGTGACAATTGTGGCTGTGCACATTGCGATATCGATGCTGAAACGATACATTGTGCAGCCCTAGTACACACATGAAGCTTTACCTCCTCAATGTCTAGATAAAGGGTTGGGTTTATACCAAAATAAAAATTGTAGTTGCTAATTTTCACATTTGTTCTCACATTGATCGCATTTGTTTTGAACATCTGATGTTTATTAAGCAAATCTATTACTCTCTTTTGACACTTTAAAAACGTCAAAGTAAATGTATAACCACGGGGTTAATAATAGTCGTCTGTTTATGTTTACTGATCAATATTAATTTATACGATAACATGCTGAATATGTTAATGTATAAAGCATTAACTTGTATTAAACTGCTTGATTCATACAGATTTATTTATTTTTATCTTAAACAATTTTGAAATGTCAGCATTTTTTGGGAGAACATTTTCAGCAGAGGCTTAGAAAACTTGTACTAAAGATGAACTGAAGTCCTTATGGGTTTAGAATTAGAGGGCTAATACATGACAGAATTTGTATTTTGTGACAAATTTGCACTTTAGTGTCATATTTTGTTAATTTATGTGAATTAAGATATTGCTAGAAAGTTTATTAATTCAAATCTCTTTTTCAGGGAAATGAGTCTCTGGTGGCTAAAACCACCGTGACTGTGCCTGCTGATGGCGGACCCATTGAGGCCGTCACCACAGTGGAGGCTGTTCCCTACTGGACCAGGAGCCGCCGGAAGACTGGTAAGATTATTTCCCTAAATGTAATAATGCCCTTCTTGAGGGAGCACAGTGCTGAGCAAGAGAATATTTGCATGAGTCATTGATTGTGCGATTTTGTTATTGACGGAATAATAATGCACAAGCTGCTGTATCATGAATAAGCTCCGCAGTGAGTCATGATATGTGGTTGCAGAATCATAAATATGCACTCTTTTTATCGAACCGGGTCAAAGATTAATTTTTAAAATAATTTAATGTGTGCTTTGCAGGACTCTGGGGTGTTTTAAATTGAACCTCGTTGAGTCTCCAGCCTCGGGCTTTTTATTTATTTATGTTTGTTTAACTTTATTTTTTATTTTTTTTATTACAGGGCTGTTTTGTGTAGGCTTTTTTTTCTGGTCGTTTCTCTCACTCCAAGCCTTTGCATTTCTGTTCAAGTATTCTGCAGTAGTGAGCAGTGTATCTCTCTGAATTATTCTTCAGCTGCTGTGGAGTGGGACACCGTTGACACAGATTCTGTTCAGTCTATGGATGTGTTCAAGCAGCCCAGTCTGCCCAATGCAGAGAACAGGGCAGAGCCCAGCACTCCACAGGGCAACGGAGGTGTCCGTCTGCATGAGTTTATCTCCAAAACGGTAGGATGTTGCAGTGCATACAAATTCTTCAACGCTGTGATGATGCACCTCTGACGCATTTTCTCAATGTTTGAGGGTGGTTTTATCCTCACATTTTGCAGTTATACATTTTGTTTAAAGGACAACTCTCAAACTCAATTCCTGGAGGGCTGCAGCTCTGCACAGTTTTGCTCCAATCCTGATCAAACTCAGCTGATCCAACCAATGAAGGTGTTCATGACTCTTTTGAACACCTCAATTATTTGGATCAGCTGTGTTTGATAGGGATGGAGCAAAACTGCAGAGCTGCGGCGCTCCAGGAATTGAGTTAGAGACCTATGGTTTGAAGAGATGGCTCATCAAAAAAAAATGTTAAATTTCTTAATTTATTCTCCTTAATGTGATTTTAAACCTGAGTTTTTCTTCTGTTGAACACAAATTATGTTTTGAAGAATGATAGTTTGTGGCACCTATTGATTAACCCATAGTTGGAATAAAATGACTAAGGAAGTCAATGGGTACCAGCTATCAAAATATATTTATTTTTGGCTAAAATATCTGTTTAAGTAGGGCTGAGCAATAAAATCGATATTAGTATAAATTGACCGAACACCATTGTCAACAATATAAAAAAAAGTTTGGTGTAAAGTATCGGTATGAAGGCTAAAGTTTTATTAAATGGGGCTGCTGAGCATGTGCCTTGGAAGGAATGCCAATAAGCTTAGGGTGTAACTTTGACAATTCCAATCTGCACACCTAGTTGAAAAACATCTGAACTTTTCCGAATTCCGTGAGCGCACCATGATTCATGCAAGTAGAACTAACCATTCTGCTTCAAACTTTGCATGGAATATACACAGTTCAGTAATAAGGGTTGACTAATTACCTCAGACAAACACTCCTGTGCTTTTACTTTTCTCCATAAACTTGCATCGGAGCTGCAGCAATGGTTTGTCGTTGTTGAGAAAAGTTGATTGTCCTCTAGTTATGAGAGAAGCCAGGGGAGCGTGAGCACAAAGGGCACTAAAAATGAAGGAGACCACATGCTCGCGCTTTTATTTTATTCTCAGAGCAACATTTCTGCATTTGGTTCTTGAACGTTTCTGTGTTTGAACACATCGAGAAAGAATATAAGTCCCTGGTCTTACAAATGGCACGCTAAATTCTTATAATCTTGTCACTTTAGGTCTGGTCAGCATAACAATACATGTAAAAATTAGTGCATGTATAGCAGCAGCATCGAGGAGATTGTAAATGGGGAAAAAAGAATGGAAAATGGATGTCACCAGAGTGGCTTTTTGGCTTCTTTTCTTGTGCATCCCTCCCACTAGCTCCCCATCTGAAAGATTGTTTAGCATTATTTAGGGGGTAATATGGTCATTTAACTTTACAATTTGTAATGTTGCAAAATGTATTTGAATAGTGATGGCTGGTTCTTTTACTTGAAAGCTCAGATTTGATTATCATAATTAGTTTTGTTTGAAGAGTTTGAGGTTGACTGTGTCATTATTATTGACACCTTACAGATGTTGATCTACCTTCACCATTGCACAAACTTTGTTATATTTTATTTATCAAGTTTAAGTCTCTATAACAGTTACGTTTATTTTATTGTGAAGATATATTACGTTTAAATATTTTTGTTTTTGACTATTACCACTATTTGCCTTGGTAATGTTGGTAAATTAAATTCAGGTGGTTAAACAAAAAAAAATCCTAATATTCCTAAATGTATCGTTAAACAATATTCAATAATTATCGATAACGAATGATATGAAACATTATATTATAAGCATTTTTTTTGCATTACTGCCCAACCCTAGGTTTAAATCTTGACCTCTCAATATCATTCACTTTAAGATGAAACCCTTGTATGCCCAATAATTTAAGTTGTAAGGGCAAACATGTCTCTGTGTTGTATTTTTTGTTTTTTTATAAAATATGATGTAGTTTAGCAATATCACACAACCAAGGCTTCTGTGCTTTCAAATATCAGTGCGTGAACACAATCGCAGATGTGATATTGATTTTATAACAGTTCAACAAACAAGAAGTTAATATTGAGTGCGTTTCAGACATAATATTGACTTTTTTTCCACCAGGAAAAATAGTTCCAAACAAAGCCGGATCTGAACATTTGTGCCTCTCAGAGCAACATTTCTTCTTTTAGTTCTTGAATGTTTCTGTTTTTTGACACAATGAGTGAGATTATCACTGGTTCTCACAAATGGCACGCTAAATCCTTATGATCATCTTCAGAATTCATAAATAATTCATCAGATAGAAGTCTGAGGCCAGTTTCTTACTTTATAAACTGATATGTTTTAAATGAATTGTGAACCTTAATTATGATATAATTGGAGCTTCAGCTAAATAAAACTGATTTCTCAGGTGACCCTTTGTTCCCATAATAATCAATTAAGCTACCTTCACTGCGTCTACATTCCTTCCACTTAACATCTGCTGTGCTCTGGTGTGTTTTAGGTGATCAAGCCAGAGTCTTGTGTGCCATGTGGTAAGAGGATCAAGTTTGGCAAGATCTCTTTAAAGTGTCGGGACTGTCGTGTAGTGGCCCACCCAGAGTGCCGTGAACGCTGCCCATTGCCCTGCATTCCATCCATGACTGGGACTCCTGTCAAAATCGGAGAGGTGACAAGCAGCTTTATCATCCAACTTCAAATGCTGACTATTTCATTGATGTGGTGGACTAAATATGTCAACATGTGTCACTGATTGCTTTCATTGTGCATTCCAATAGGGTACACTAGCAAACTACGTGTCTAACACCTCTCCCATGATCCCTTCGCTAGTGGTGCACTGCATTAATGAGATTGAGCAGAGAGGCCTACATGAGGTGAGTTTATAAAGGTCTTTAATTAAGGGTTTATGGGTTTTACCTGTTTATTTACATGACAATAATGATTTCGGGGTTAAAAACAAAATCTAAAACAGGTTATAAAGGGGAATTTTTTGAAGATAATATGAAAACTCAAATGTCATTTGCGCATGCATAATACATTTTTAAGGAGGTGTAGATTAAACCGGGTGTCCTCGGATCCTTAAAGTCTTAAATTCTATAGTATAAAAATAAGGCCTTAATTAGCCTTAAAATTGATTAAATCTGCATTTCAAAGGTCCTAAAAGGACAATCGAACCGACACCATAAAGAAGTTTTTGTTTTCATTTTGAAATCTACTTAACTCTCTTTGTTTATCATCATGCATCACAACATGCGTATCTTTGGCGATACCCAATAAAATGCTCGCTTACAGGGATTTTGTTTAGATGCTTAACGTTCGCTGAGATTTTGCTCGCATAAACAGTTCCTGTGAGTTTTGCTCTATAACAGCTAAAGTGTGTCCAGCTGTGTTGTCATTAGCTATGTGTCCATCCAAAAATGCGAATAAAATGTATGCGCAAAGCTAGATTATTGCAAACAGACGTGCGAATAAAGCAGCGTTTCCATCCAATGAGTCACAGCCAAATCATCAACACAGAAAACAGAATTTGCTGCGATAGGAGATGCTGCGTGAATCTTTTCTTCATTTAATAAATGCGCCTCAGAAGACATTGCAGACAAGCAGTGAACACACGTGGTGTTTGAAGGTGCAAGACACTGAGCACAGACGCTCTTGATTCTGAAGTTCATTAATAATAAAATAACACTAATACTGAAATAGTTAAGGCATTTTAGAATGCCCAGAGCAACATTTCAGATGTTTTTCAATGTGGTCAGCCTGCTGGTTTGTCTATTCGTGCACTTATTTGTATTTTCTATTCGTATTTTTATCACATAATCTCTTATAACAAAACCACATGACCTTTTTTAATGCGCATCTTTTCTTATATATTAGCCAGTTTATCCTACTCTGTTATGTGCACATGATTTTTATGTGCATTTTGTAAATGTATGCACATCTTGGCATCCATCAACCATATTTTTATGTGCATATCCAAAATGTGTATAAAAATAGGTGGGTGGAAACGTAGCTCGAGATGTCAGCAGGCACTCACAGTCGCATTTAACGTGTCGCATATCTAATTGTCTCGTGTGCACATGAAAGCGTGGCCCTCACGCAGGTGGGCATGCGCGAATGTTGGATTTGCGTGAACAGAGATGCACAAAAGCCCAAATCTGCATTTGTTGACAAAAAAGTTTGAGCTGAATTATGGGAGATGTCGGCCCGAAAATATCTTATTTATATTTTATTTATTTATTTATATTTTAGAGTTTTATGTCTCATCCAGAATATATAAATACATATAATTTAGCATTTAGATCATTTAGTTTTTATCATTACTATTGGACAGTGAAGAGAGTTTCAACCAGTACAACAAAAAAATGTTTCTGAAGACAATCACCTACTGCACCTTTAAATAAAACTCTTAGAAAGCTCAGATACCCGGTTAAAGGTGGTCATGATCAAACGCAAAACAATGTCAGAATACAGTATTGTTGTTGTTGTTGAAGTGTTTGCTATCACTTCATCAGTAAAATGTGAACCAATAGCAAAGACACGTCATACACACAGCAGATTTTACATGCACTGCCGCCAACAGACACTGTTTACTAACAAGATGACTGTGCCAAATCTTGGCCTGGCTTTCGTAATGTAATGTTTTTGGCCATTTTCCTTTATGTAAACATAAATCATTTTAAAAACAGTGTGTAAACATGTAACTTGTTATGTTGTAAACATACCCTAACTCTTGAGCACTACCTATAATACGCACATATTGCTTTGTCAGACTGGTTTGTACCGGGTATCTGGCTCTGATCGAGTGGTCAAGGACCTGAAAGAAAAGTTCCTGCGTGGGAAGACTGTTCCCCTGCTCAGCAAGGTGGAAGACATCCATGCTATCACTGGCCTCCTCAAGGACTTCCTAAGGAACCTCAAAGAGCCCCTGCTAACCTTCCGCCTCAATCGGGCATTCATGGATGCTGCAGGTATGTGATGTATAAATGTACACTGCTTTTTAACAGTTTGGGCTTTCTGAAAGTGTTTATTGGATCAAAACTGCAGTAAAAATATTGTCAGTTTTAATAAAAGTTTATTCTATGAAATATAAAATTAGCGTATGCAATTTACTCCTGTTTTGACTAGCATTTCTCCAGTCTTCATGAATCACTCTAATATCTTTTGAGATGTAATATTTTGTACCATAAATGTGCTTTGCTGACTGTTTTTGTTGGATAAAAGTGTTTTTTATTGTCCTAAATGTTTGAATTGTAGTACACCTGGGGGTGATAAGATAGGTGTGTGAATTTCAGTATATTTATTTATTTTGTCTATTTATTTTTGTAGAGCTGTCAGATGATGACAACAGCATTGCCTTGATGTATCAGAACATCAGTGATCTTCCACAGCCCCACAGAGACACTCTGGCCTTCCTCATCATCCATCTACAAAGGTAAATAGCAAACATTCTCTGATTTTACTCTCTGCTTTTTATTTTAATGCTAATTAGTTGTGAAATTCAAACGTTTCTTTCGAGATGATAAATGTATTTGTGAAATATTAAAGGTTTAAAGCAGTTGTGGTAGCAGTTTAACTAATAGGCCCTTTTAACATGCTGGAGATGTTTTTTTCCTAATTTTTTTCAGTTTAGTAACTAATATTACTGCTTAATTTAGGGAAAACAGTCCTCTCAAAAAGCAATTACTGTTCTTACTTTTTCTTTTTCTTTCTTTCATCATCAGGGTGGCCCAAAGCCCCGCTACAAAGATGGACATCACCAATCTGGCTCGTGTATTTGGACCCACAATTGTAGGCCATGCCGTTTCTAACCCAGAACCAATGACCATCCTACAGGACACAAAACGACAACCGAGGGTACGTGTTCATGGATAGTTTCCTATTTACAGCCGGTCACAATCGAACACTACAAAATACATATGAAATGAGATCTAAAATATTTTGAGCTTGTTAGATTTAAACCACTTTCAGAGCTTTGCTAAAGTTCATTGATTTGCTAGTGTAGATGCTTGTGTAATGGAATACATTTGAAAAGCTACAAAGACTACCTACACTCTACCTGCTAACTTCACTCATGACCATTAAAACAAGGTATTCATACTGAACTGCATAGTACCAAAGCATATTATGGTTGAAATTGTATTGGACATGCACTTCCTTTTGAGCATGCTCATAAGCAATTTCATCACAGTGATTACACTTACCAAAGTGATCTTGAGCGTGATGGAGGGGCTCAACAACAAAATCTGAAATACAGTTGAAAGGACAGATGTATTTAAGCTCAATTTTAGGTCCTCCTAGAGCTTTAAAAAATTTATTCAGCTGATCTCTGGGTTTGACTGAAGCACTTTCAGCTTCGCTTAGTATAAATCGGACTAGACCATTAGCATCTCACTCAATATCGTTAGCAATTCACTCAGAAAATATTCGTTGCTGCATAATATTAATATCGCTACGTGCCTAATATTGATTCGTCGCTGTATAATATCGCTGCCTAATATCCCTACGTGCCTAGTAATTATACGTCGCTGCGTAATATCGTTGCCTAATATCGATACGTGCCTAATATTGATGTGTCCCTGCGTAATATTGTTGCCTATTATCACCACGTGCCTAAAATTTATCCATCGCTGCATAATGTTGCCTAATATTGCTATGTGCCTTATATTGATGCGTCGCTGCCCAATATTGTTGCCTAATATTGCTAAGTGCCTAATATTGATGCATCGCTGCGTAATATCGTTGGCTAATATTGCTACGTTACCAATATTGATGTGTCGCTGCTAATATCATTGCCTTATATGATGCCAGAATGAGATTATGGTTCCTTGCCATATCATCCTAGTACATGATGTAACTACAAAGTCTGGCAATAAATAGGAAAATTTTCACTTTTTAGTTGAAAGTACATCAACGCTATGTCTCAGCAACTTCTGGTTCACGCAAACATTAAGCCTTAATTGATTCAAACAAACCGTATCAAAAACATTGCAGTTGATTTAAACATTTAACGCCTATTCTGAGAAAATTACATTTTCTGACCCTAGATCCATTTAAACTTTGTGTAGAGGTCTCCAACCCAATATTAGGACATTTTAAAACGCCATATGTGCTGCTTTTTAATAGCAGAAACAGAACCAAAATATTGAGAGGGGTCCGGATGGGATACTTAACCTAACCCCACCTTTAACCCTCACAGTGACATCATTAGCTCCATTGAGTGCTAATGTCTGGCATTGCATCTCTGAGATATGCAGTCTTGCCTTACATATCCAAGTCTAAATCTAGATATTATTGAAGGCATCCCCATTGGGTCCAGTTTGTAGAAATGCATAAACCTTTTCCTTTGGCATTTGTTCCAATTTTTCAATAGCCACTTTAACTTTTTTCTTTCTTTCTCAGGTGGTCGAGCGTCTCCTCAGTCTGCCTGTGGAGTACTGGAGTCAGTTTATGATAAGCGACCACGACCATGCTCGCAATGATCACATGATCATCGAGAACGCCAATGTTCACACGACTCCAGATCAGAAAAGTGTGTTGTCGTTTTACTTTAACATATTTAACGTAACATCAGGTAATTTAATCATAAGCTATAACACATTTTCTGCTTTTGTTATCTGTAGTGAGTATGTTTGGTCCCATTACGACTCCTGACCAGCAGATGAGCAAGACTCCATCATCCAGCTCTCTCTCCCAGCGCATGAAGAACGCAACTCTCAATGCTATCACTCCAAAGTAAGTTAGCATCTCATCACATTTTCTATCATTACGACATGCTTCAGTTGGAGAATTGGTGAACTGATCCATCTTTTTTCTAGGTTTTCCAGCAGGAGCAGAGCTACAGCCGCTGTCCCTCGGCAGGGGAACTTCTTCGCCTCGCCTCTCCTGAAGTAGCCCTGAAGCTCTTCAAGGTTTTTCCTTCACTTTGGGAAACAGCTGCAATATATTATATTGTCTTATTTTATATCTGGCTCGTCCATCAATTCAAGCCTTTTTTAACACTACTCATTTTATCTGTCATATTTTATATTAACATTCGTATTTTAGTCACTTTTAAATGTTTTAATGTACTGTTAAGATCACAACCAAAGCGATGGGCTTTTATAAGCACTTCCATCAGTCACTGAATCCACAAAATCTGCATAAAGTTGGGAGTTCTTTATCAAGAAACCTGAACTTAATTGTAGAAAAAAGGTTATGCTAAATCTAGTTGTAACCTTTGTTTGTATATAGAAATTGCATGCTTGTTATAGAACGCGCAAAATCTCAATTTCTTGGAGGGTTCGAGACTGAAGTGACTATTCGATTTTTCTGTCGAGTGTAAACTGTTTTTAAACATGGTTTGACTTCCACAGCCAGTAGATATAATGCACAATTTGTGGCTACTGATATTAAGAGTTTGTTTAAATAACCAATTTGTGTTGTTTGGAACACTGTGCTTCTGTTTGGTGGGATTCAGAATGGTGAGAGAAACTCTATGCAAAAACACTCTTGGTTGTTGTGATTGGGCATTTTGTGTCTTTCTGCTTCATAACCGTTTTTCATACGTATAAATGGCCAGAATTCCAAATGATTTTTCTACACGGCATTGATTGATAATTGCAGTTTGTACTCAATTTATTATTCTTTTATACTTTTATTTAAAGTAGAACCAAAATTAGTTCCCTCTAGGAATCGACTGATTTTGAAGGATTGAATGAACCATTGATTTTCTACTGATTACACCAGGGGTGGGTAAACTCGGTCCTGGGGGGCCGGTGTCCTGCACAGTTTTGCTCCAACACTAATCAAACACACCTGAACATGTTAATCATTGTCTTCAAGATTAATCAAAAACACCTGCTTATAGATTTCTAGTAATCTTGAAGACACTGATTAACATGTTCAGGTGTTTTTGATTAGAGTTGGAGCTCAACTGTGCAGGACACCAGCCCTCCAAACCCAAGTTTGCCCTACCCTGGATTAGACTCTGTCATTTAGTTTACGGTTAGATGTGTGCGGCACTAACCTGTAAAGTTTTCATTGTTTCAAGGGCATGTTGAACATTGGAGTTGATTGGTCAATTCCAGTTGCTTTCCAGTTTGAGTGGATTTTGTAAGACTTGTGCTGTTTGTAAAATACATTCATTTATTGCTAGTCTTTTGTCTTTTTTTATGTGGGAGTTAGCTAAAAGTGGCGAGACTTTGCAGACTTTTCTATCAGTATGATGTATTTCCAACTGGTATGGAATATTAAGTAAGAGGCTGGGTTTGTTTTTGCTCTCTCCTCTTTCACTCAGAGCAAAGGAATTGTTAGAGGAGGTGTGGCTTTGTATTTCACCCGAGCTGTCAAGCTCGATGGACTGCTATACCAGAGCTGAAGTAAATATCAGTATATAATTGTTTTTTTCTTCAATGGATTCACTTTTGTTCATCTGAAGACTAACAATGCAAGCTAGCAAAATAAACATTGTACATTTTTTTTATACACAATTGTACAAGTTTAAAAATCAGTGACGTGTGTAGGTAAACCTCACTCTTCTGACCTCTAAAGTTTCTCCAGTATCAGACGGTAGAGGCCATTGTCTTTAGCCTCCTTGGTAGAGCAACCAACTCCCATGCGGAATGTCGCCGGTTCAATCCCAGCTCGAAGCAGGTTGGGTGATGTAGGACTGGTGGGGTTACAGTGGCACAAACTACAAGAATTTAAGGAGTCTTTGTATTAGTGGAAATACTGGAAAAAGAGATGTGAAGACCGATATCTTTAAAGTTCTTATGAATTAAAACTGGAGTAACTAGAAGGCTTTCCACACTGTGCTTCACTATGGACGTTTCACACTTGGAATTTTGAAGTGGGTATGTGTGCCATGTGAAATGATTGTATTAATAATACAGCCTGATGCTTCCCAGCTAATTGCGTGCTTCATATTCAATTTCCTGCACAGTCAGAGTCATTGTGCTCTATAAAATGCCATTTTAATTGTTTGAGGGGAGAATGTCATTCATTCAGACTGGCGTTATTATGGTTTGCAAAAATCTGTCCACACTATGCAGCGTAAAACACGATACATGCACATATTTTGCTGGCATCTACGCTTGCAGTCTACTGGTCATGTAATGGTCATATAAGAAGTGCTTGAGGAGTAAGGGGATGATATTCTGTAGACCAGGGGTGTTCACACTCTGTCCTGAAGAGTGTAGCTCTAACCCTAATCAAACACACCCGAACAAGCTAATCAAGCTCTTGTTAAATATACTAGAAACTTCCAGGCAGGTGTGTTGAAGCAAGTTGGAGCTAACATCAGCAGGACACCGGCCCACTCCAGGACCGACTTTGGACACCCCTGCTATAGACCCTTTTTACATTTCAAGGTTTCTCAGCAACAAAAGCAGTAAGAATGGGAGTAACACCAATATCTACCATATATTTGCATTCCAGTTTACTCAAATAACAAACTAAAAACTCCATGATGGTGTTTTAAGAAAATAAAAAATAATTTAAAAAATGTGAAACTGATGGTGGCAGCTATAAAAGAGAACAATATCAAATTTACTTTCCCGCCCATACATGCTGCAATAGAAACACCATTAAACTAGTTTGTTTAATTTAAAATCTATATTTAAAATAGGTACTATCCTTATAAATAAACTGCATAGTTGCAATATTAACGACTACTCGGCTAATAAAGCCTCAAAAGTACATTATGTTGTTCAACAGCTGCAATATTTGTCAATGTAGTGAGTTGTCTAGTCCCTTTTTAGTCATCATGAGTAACAACTGCAGGGTTCCACACAATTTATTTATGTTGTCCCAACACAAATGAAGTTAACAGTTTTAACAAATTTATGTGTATTGAACAGAAATTAAGTTGTCCCAATGAAATCTCAAGAATTGTATTAATACACCACATTTTAAATAAGTAGTTTGAACTAGCAAAGAAAAAAATTTTTTTTGAGTGAACACAAGGGTGAAAAGGCTATACGAGTGCTGATATTACTTTAATATTTCACGGCTATATATATATATATATTGTAATTTGGTCCAAAGATGATATAATACAAAGTACAGTTTTATAAGTACATGTTTGTTTTTTCTTAATATTAAAATTTTCAGAGGATATTTAAGTTGCTGATGACAATTGAAATGCATCATCGTCTTGTGAAAAGGATCTATTGTCTGGTAGAGCAAAAAGAAAGTGGTTGTCTGATGGCTGTGCTTCTATTTTCAAAAAAAATGTGTTTCAATCCATCTTTTATTGAATTTATCAAAATCAACCCAACCCAAACTAGTACAGGGTCTTTAGCATTTGCAAAACGCTCAGTTTTTGTAGGTCAAATATGCCAGTGTAGTGTGGACAACAGACAAAACTATCAAAACAAACGTTAAAATGAAAACTCTCTAGTGTAAACGGCACCTAATACAAATTTTCCATATAGGAATTCAATCAGCAGCTCTCAATGTTCATTTGTCAGGTGCAATTACTGTAAACATGCTTTATTCTCCTTTAACTTTTGGAAAGGGCCATAGAAGGGGAGTGTTTTTGACGTAGTTCTGGAAAGCGGGGTCCGACCCCCACTTCTTCATAGCCTGCTTCTCAAGAATGGGGATCCCACTAACGTGTCTCAGTAAGAACCAAACGAAAAGTGGAGAAAGTGCACTGAGGTATTGAGGTCCTTGCATGATGGAGGAAGCAGACAGGAACAGGCCGGACCACTGCAGGATCTCCCCCAGGTAATTTGGGTGCCTGCTGTACGCCCACAGCCCATGATGAATGAACTTCCCCTGTATGACATGAGATAGATTATATGATTATAGCTCTATTCATATGCAGTTAATAAGCAGTTTCTGGAAACCAAATCCTTTTTTTGTGTTATTACTATTAAGGATGAAATGTGTTATCTCTCAATATGATTGGACAAGCAGCTAGCCCCTCCCTAAATTACCATATTTGGTCAACCTATTGTTGCTGGTTAAGAAATTCATTGAAGACTAAAAACATAACTGGAGACAACCGGAGGGTAAAGAACAACCTGTCTGGTTCAGGTTATGATCGGTCAAACCTTATAAACCCATAGCTGTTAATGCTAAAATATTTCATCATGATATGAGTTATATGGTTTTCATGTCCGCTTAATCGCAGTCTTATCAGCGTCTTATTATCAGTGCAATGTATTACTCACCACATTATCTGGATCATTTTTAAAATTCCACTTCTGTTGGTCTGCAATGGCCTCTGTAGCAAAACCCAGCCCCCATATTCCCCAGCCAATGTAGTCCCGCGGGCCTAGAGGCTCATCTCTTCTCTCACTGTTCAGAATTAGGGTGGGCAAAAGGGTAACAAAGACCCACAATGCTAGAAAGGAGGAGAAATCTAGATTTATTTCGATGCCAGATGGCTAATCTTTAAAAAAAAAAATATATATATATATATATTTTAGTAGTGAAACTATTTTGGTGAGATAATAATTACTGAATATAAGGGATACTGCAGCCATCATTATATATTATTGAAATAAAACAGGTTTAAAATGTAATCATCATCATGTGATATAGATTAGTGTAGATCAAGTGCAAAGTTCAACTTCGATGTAATTCAGAATAGAATGCTGAAATAAAAAAGGCTGGATATTTGATATATTGACTGCATAAAATACGACTACAGAACAGATGCAAGGAAACTTCTATTTCCTGCATATGATTCAGAATAGAATAGATTATTGAAATATAATAAATTGGATATTTGCTATGCAATATCCCACCAGGCAATTTTGTTTAATAGACCTCTAAACACACACTCATGGGTCGCTTTATTAGGTACACTTGTCCAACTGCTTATTAACGCAAATTTCTAATCAGCCAATCACATGGCAGCAACTCAATGCACTTAGGCATGTAGACATGGCCAAAATGATCTGCTGCAGTTCAAACCAATATCAGAATAGGGAAGGCAAATGCCTTTTTGATGCCAGAGGTCAGAGGAGAATG